CAGCTTTAAAGTCAGCTGTTGCATCCGAAAGCACCTGCGCTAAGTTTGCAATTTTTTCGAAGCGTTCTGTGAAATGAATTTATTCGTGTAAAACACCATTTGTAAAGAAAACAAGAAAGGAAAGCTAACTTCGGGCGGAGCCAAAGTTGATATACCCTTGCAGAATACTCTGTAAATTATATTCCCCAAAATTATTCATATGGTGCATTCTTAATACTCATAAAAAATCCCAACTTTCCAACTTTAAAAACACCAAAGTTATGGCATTTCTAATCGTTCAGTTATATGGCAGCTATAGGATATAGTCAACCGATCCTTATGAAATTTGGTAGGTCGGATTGATTGGCCAAATATAAAACCCATAGGAAATCCCAGCTTCCTAACTTTACAAACACCAAAGTTATGGCATTTCCGATCAATCAGTTATATGGCAGCTATAGGATATAGTCGGCCGATCCCGTTCCGACATATATACTGCGTGCAAAGGAAAGAAGGGTGTGTGCAAAGTTTCAATTCGATATCTTTAAAACTGAGAGACTAGTTTGCATAGAAACAGACAGACGGACATGGCTATATCAACTCAGGAGGTGATCCTGATCAAGAATATATATACTTTATAGGGTCGGAGATGTCTCCTTCACTGCGTTGCACACTTTTGACCAAAATTATAATACCCTCTGCAAGGGTATAAAAATAAATGGAAACTGATCTCATAGGTTTGTACTATATGTTAAATGTTTTAATTGTTTAAATTGTGCGTGTTTATACTAACATTTTGTCATTTTATAAATGCACCTTAAGCTGAATTTTGAGGAACAAATTTCAACTTTGGAAAGAGTTTTGAAATAGAAGTTTGCATTAGTTTTCAGTGCGTCCAAGTGTATGTTGTTGCCTTGTCAATTCTGAGCAAAAATCTGTTAGTCTTATTGTGCACTTCTCCGCACTATTGGTGCAATTTGAATTTTTCTTAGATAACCTCACTTTCTCCAACGCCGACTTGGTTGCTGTTTGGAATAGCGGGAAGGGCCGGCTTGAGCAACAAAAGGCTATACAATGTTTGATGAAAAAATTATTTATAATAAGAGGATCATTTTGATATGTTTGTCCTGTCAGTTGCCCATCAATTTGGACAAATTCGAATCATTTTGCCTACAAACTGCTGAATTGATAGTCGTGTATCCGTGGCTCCCGATAAGTTTTGAGTTTGATGAAATTTTTTCTTTTTGCTTTTGTTGCACTTATTATCATCCACTTTTATAGGCATGGAGCAACAAATTTCAGCTCCTTCAATTTCATTAATTATACCCGTTACTCGTAGAGTAAAAGGGTATATTGTATTCGTGCAAAAGTATGTAATAGCTAGAAGGAAGCGTTTCCGACCCTATAAAGTATATATATTCTTGATCAGGGTCACTAGCCGAGTCGATATAGCCATGTCCGTCTGTCCGTCCGTCTGTCCGTCTGTCTGTCCGTCCGTATGAACGCTGAGATCTCGGAAACTATAAAAGCTAGAAGATTGGCATTTTGCATGCAGATTCTAGGAGTTCCTACGCAGCGCAAGTTTGTTTCAAAAAGGTGCCACGCCCCCTTTAACGCCCACAATCGCTTATATACGATTTTAAAAATTTAAATATTTCGGAAAAGTAAAAATGCAGTTTTATTGTGTTTATCAATACCTATCGAAATGTAGAAGAAAGTTTTGAAATCGGACCATTCGTTAAAAAGTTATGCGTGAGCAAAGTTTCTATCTCCATCTCCCTCGCACTCCCTTTACGTGAGTAACGGGTATCTGATATTCGGGGCACTCGACTATAGCGTTCTCTCTTGTTTTTTTTTAGATTTAACGGATCGTTCCTATGGGAGCTATTGGATATTGTTTCCTGATCCGAACGATTTTCACACTATATGTGCCTAGGGACAAATAATGACGATTGGTAAAGTTTCATGTCGATATCTCCAAAACTGACCGAGTTATTAATTATTGCCACAAAAACAGGTCAAAAACCCCGTAGTGCTTTGTGAGCTTGACATCCTCTGAGATTTTTCACACACTGGCCTATCTTAGTCGCCGTTTTTATACCCTTGCAGGTATTATAATTTCAGTCAAAAGTTTCCAACGCAGTGAAGGAGACATTTCCGATCCTATAAAGTATATATATTCTTGATCAGCATCACGTGTGGAGTCGATCTAGCCATGTCCGTCTGTCCGTCCGTCTGTTTCTACGCAAACTAGTCCCTCAGTTTTAAAGCTATCTGCTTGAAACTTTCCCAATAGTTGTCATTCTATTGCAGGTAGTATTTAAGTCGGAACGAGCTGGATCGGGCGATTATGTCATATAGCACACATATTACGTCTTAAATTAAATTAAAATCGGACTTCTATATCATATAGCTCCCATAGAAAAATCAAAATATTAAAAAAAATAAAAATAAAACAAGAGAGAACGCTATAGTCGAGTGCCTCGACTATTAGATACCCGTTACCCGTTTGCATTAACATTAATGTGAATTAGAGTGACCACAGGAAAAAAGGACAAAAAGTTCAAATTATCAATTTGAATTAGGCGTTCTCTTAGCGCTGGCAGCTTTACAGCACGAGCATCAGCACCAGCGCTGCTTTAGCGCAGGCAGCTTTTGTCCTGCACCAGCATACACACACACGCCATTGTGTGACTCAGACCTCCAATTTGGCTAACTTGATTTGATTTGCATAGTTCTTGGGATATAGTTCGCTATTGACAAATGAAAACCATCGCAATTTCCTTTAATAGAAATCCTTATCGAGAATTAACGTTGACTCTGTTGAGCACCTTGGCCAGCTGTTCCAAAGTCATCCGTTAGATGGCGCTATTGTATTGCGCCATCTACCCGGGCCATTAAAGGCGGAAATGTAGGCGCTAGCCAGGCTTAAGCGTTTAATGAGTTTTTGGGCGTTAGAGTGGGCGTGGCAAACTTTTATTAGGCCAATCGATAGGTATTGACGAAACAAATACATATCAATTAAAATTTTCATAATAGCATCAAAACTGTGGCCACAGCTTGTGGCTTGTGGGCGTCAGAGGGGCGTGGCACCATTTTGAAACAAACTTGCGCTGCGTAGGAACTCCTAAAATCTACATGCAAAATGCCAATCTTCTAGCCTTTATAGTTTCCGAGATCTCAGCGTTCATACGGACGGACAGACAGACGGACAGACGGACATGGCTAAATCGACTCGGCTAGTGATCCTGAACAAGAATATTTATACTTTATAGGGTCGGAAACGCTTCCTTCTACCTGTTACATACTTTTGCACGAATACAATATACCCTTTTACTCTACGAGTAATGGGTATAAAAAAAGGTTATTTTGCTGTTTTTCTTTTTATCAAAATATTCCATTGAGATATAGTAATTATTTACTATATCAGAATTACGCTTTTAGTTTTGTCAAGATCGGACAACAATATCAAACAGCTGCCATAGAAACGATGGTAAAATGCAGCGCAAAATCGACATAGCTCCATTGTTTCTAGTAATATAGGCATTGAAGTCGAAATGTAGTCGTTTTGTAATAACTGCAAGGGTATATGTATAGTCCTTTCTTGTTTGCTCTATTTTCGAAAATACTTTTAATTTTTTTTAAATCAAACGACAAAATTATTATCTGCCAGAGGAAAATTAATAGAAAAACAAGAGAGAACGCTATAGTCGAGTGCTTCGACTATAAGATACCCGTTACTCAGGTAAACAACTTTAGATTTTGCATTAATATAATGTGAATTAGAAAGACCACATGAAAAAAGGACAAAAAGTTCAAATTATCAATTTGAATTCGGCGATCTCTATTCTTACTATTTAGTATAACAAAAATACCTTGTAGTATACATAGTATACGGCATGTAGTATACATTTCGTACTACTTCGTATAATACTTATACTAATTTCTAAGAGTTGTAGTATAAAAACAAGAGAGAACGCTATAGTCGGGTGCTCCGACTATCAGATACCCGTTACTCAGGTAAAGGGAGTGCGAGGGAGATGGAGATAGAAACTTTGATCACGCATAACTTTTTAACGAATGGTCCGATTTGAAAAATTTCTTCTACATTTCGATAGGTATTGATAAACACAATAAAACTGCATTTTTACTTTTCCGAAATATTTAAATTTTTAAAATCGTATATGAGCGATTGTGGGCGTTAAAGGGGGCGTGGCATCTTTTTGAAACAAACTTGCGCTGCGTAGGAACTCCTAGAATCTGCATGCAAAATGCCAATCTTCTAGCTTTTATAGTTTCCGAGATCTCAGCGTTCATACGGACAGACAGACAGACAGACGGACAGACGGACATGGCTATATCGACTCGGCTAGTGACCCTGATCAAGAATATATATACTTTATAGGGTCGGAAACGCTTCCTTCTAGCTGTTACATACTTTTGCACGAATACAATATACCCTTTTACTCTACGAGTAACGGGTATAAAAAAACAAGGAGGAACGTTAGATAGATATTTGTTATAGCAGACCGATCTCCTGAGATGTGTCTGACATACAGTTTAGACGGTAAACAGTGTTTAAATTCGAGTGATAAGCAAATAGCTGGACACACTCGTCATCTAAAAAAAACGCATCCGATTCAGCCAGATATCCAGGTAATACCGTCAAAACAGAGTGCCCACTTCATTTGTGTTATCAATCGATGGGGCAAATGAATTGATATGATAACAGCGATTCCAACCGGGTGCGAAACTACAATGGCTATCTCGTATTCTCGGTCCGATAACTATACGGATAAGCTTATCGCAATGACTTATATTTGATTCTTGCAAGTTCAATTCATTTTCTGCCACTTTAGTCTCTTCCAATCATTCAACATCGACCGGTTGTCGCCGACGATTTTTTTGGTCCACACAAACTTGCCAGTTTAACTCTTTATTTTGATTTTTGTGCTTTTAGAGGTTGTACAATCGTCAATGGTACCTACCGCAACAATATTATTATCTTACAAAATGAAAAAATAAGTTATAGAAAAACGTGAACAGATTGTACAAAATCTTTGGTTTTAAAAGATTGTTGTCTTGTCTTCGGAATTTAATTCCTAATCTCGTCCAAAGTCCTTAGAGTGTCCTAAATCTGCATAGCTTTTTATTACAAATCTGAATAGTGCTTAGAACTTATTGACTACAAAAGCTGCCAGAGCAAGCTATTAAAAATGTGTGATAACCATTCCCGTTTGCACAAAAGAAAACTAATTTTGAAAACGAGACCTTTTAAAGAGAAATCTAACAACGCGTTTTAAAAAGTTAAAAGATAAAAATATATTAAAATTTTAATGTCCCATTTTACACAAATTGCATTTTGTAAGTCAATTACACAGAGAACAACGATGGAACTAAACATTGAGAAAAGTAAAACTCTATATACATAAAATAAACTGAAAGCTTATGTTTCCCAAACATTGTGTTAAAAATAAACTAGGGGTATACATCATTTATTATGGAATTGTAGAATTTTTTATCAGTTTATCACTTCTGACCTGTTTTTACGCCATTGAAGAAACAAACAAAAACAAATTGAGGGCAGCTTAATTTGTTTTATTAGGTCAAAGAGTAGTAATTTTTAAATTTTGAAAGAATATTTTATTTTTTTTAAATACAAAAATATTTTTGTATTGTGAAATTTTAATTGTATTATTTGAAAAATTGGAGCATAAAAACTAAAAATGGTAAAAAGAGAAAAAATCGTTGGTTTTTCAAAATTTGATTAAACCGAAAATAGGCCTATTTTTCATCAATTTTTGGAAATTTACACAACTATATTTATCTAAAAAATATTTTTTACGTGGATTTTAATAGTAAAAACTAATTGTTTTGTTATAATTAGTTGTTGGGTAATAACACACTTGGAAATACCCAATATAAATTAGTTGAAGTTTTGCGATTGCGATTGCTTGAGCAAAATCTATATGTATTTATCTGTATGTGTCTGTTATTATCAACGAATATAAATAATTTTTTCGGGCCAGCCCCATTGTTAGAACATTATAAACCACTGACGAATCCCTAGCATGGAAGCCTTTTTGTGCGATCTTATCAAATGAGTACAATAATAATTAGGATGATACAATGAACAGGGTAAATTAGGCAACCTAACCAACCACCAGCTCTCTTTGACTTCTGAGTTCAGTTTACCACATAGCTTTCTCAACGAAAGTGTATTATTTTTGTTCGGAATATTCTTTTGCTTGCAGCTTAAAAACTAAGGAATCGCCAATCGAGGTCCTGAATTCAGCATGGCCTCGTTGGGCTTTTGCAACAGAAGATATGTCCGACTGTGCCTCGTTCTCATACTTCTCAGTGTGGCACTTCTGCTAATTTGTGGCAACTTGCAGCAGGCTCAGAGTCTTGCCCAGACACCCAAACCCATGGACCCGAAAACGTATCCAGCAGCTCCCAACGCAGGCAGCCATGAGGAGTATGTGGAGCTACCCAAAGTCCCCCTGCGAGAGGACTCTCCCCGCACCAAGGAACTGCAGCTACTGCTTAAGTGCCGCAACCGATCGCTCCGCTTCCAGAGACTGCAGCACGGGGAGTACTGGCTCCTCCGGAATTTGGTGATTGGACGCAAGAGTCGTAACGCCGGCTGCGCCGAGACAATGACGTACACCACCAACGGGGACTACTCGTTCTTCGATAATCTTGAAACGGTGGTCTCGCGGTAAGTGCTCTGCCATAAAAGTTTGTTATCGCCGTTAACTGGTGTTGTTGACATAATCTAATATAGAACACAGAACAAATAGGCTTGTTTATTATGATATTTCGTAAAAATTAGTTTTACGTTTTGATTAAAAATATCTTTGAGAGTAAGTACTTCATTTTATTGGGACTTATCATTTTAATGACTTGATGTCATTCCTTAGTATCGCATTTCATTATCATACCGTTTCAAAGGGTATATGATATAGTCGTCGGACTTTTAAGAAGCTAAAAACGTACTTCTGAAATTGTGAAAAAATACCATACTCCGAATAACAACCGCATAAATGTACGGTGGGAATAAATTGGAAAACGTCTTCCAACTTAGCCATAACTTTTGTTTTACTTAAAATATATATAGAAATCAAATATAATTTCTAAGAATGGCATATAAGCTTTGCGTTTATTTTGCGTTTTAATAATATGGATTACTTTAAATTAAAAAAATTTGAACAGCAATCTTAACAAGAAAGGAAAGCTAACTTCGGGCGGAGCCGAAGTTGATATACCCTTGCAGAATATTCCATAAAATATATTCTCCAAAATTATTCATATGATGCATTCTTAATACTCATAAAAAGTCCCAACTTCCTAACTTTAAAAACACCAAAGTTATGACATTTCCAATCGTTCAGTTATATGGCAGCTATAAGATATAGTCGGGTCGGATTGATTGGCCAAAAATAAAACCCATAGAAAATCCCAACTTCCTAACTTTACAAACACCAAAGTTATGGCATTTCCGATCAATCAGTTATATGGCGGCTATAGGATATAGTCGTCCGATCCTTATGAAATTCGGTAGGTCGGATTGATTAGCCAAAAATAAAACCCATAGAAAATCTCAACTTCCTAACTTTAAAAACACCAAAGTTATGTCTTTTCCGATCGTTCAGTTATATGGCAGCTATATGATATAGTCGCCCGATCCGGCTCGTTCCGACTTATATACTACCTGCAATAGAAAGACAACTTTTGGGAAAGTTTCAAGCAGATAGCTTTAAAACTGAGGGACTAGTTTGCGTAGAAACGGACGGACGGACGGACAGACGGACATGGCTAGATCGACTCTCCTGGTGATGCTGATCAAGAATATATATACTTTATAGGGTCGGAAATGTCTCCTTCACTGCGTTGCAAACTTTTGACTGAAATTATAATACCCTCTGCAAGGGTATAAAAACAAGAAAACTAAATTTTTAAATGAATTTGTTCGATTGTTCCCATTTGAACATATGGTTCTTTTGGGCATGTTTCATTCAGATGGCTTTATAACTGAGAGGCTAGTTTGCAGACGGACTCTCCTGAAAATGTTAAAAGGAGACTGAAATTATAATACCATCTGCAAGGGTATACAAATATAGAGCTCACATATACAAAAACTTTTGATAGGTTTTTAAAGCCCTAAACTGAGTATAGTTTCTAGTAATGCGATCAGGCACAGAGAACTGTCTTGAATGAGAACATTTTTTTAGGGGTGGTATTTTTATACCCTTGCAGAGGGTATTATAATTTCAGTCAAAAGTTTGCAACGCAGTGAAGGAGACATTTCCGACCCTATAAAGTATATATATTCTTGATCAGCATCACCAGGAGAGTCGATCTAGCCATGTCCGTCTGTCCGTCCGTCCGTCCGTTTCTACGCAAACTAGTCCCTCAGTTTTAAAGCTATCTGCTTGAAACTTTCCCAAAAGTTGTTTTTCTATTGCAGGTAGTATATAAGTCGGAACGAGCCGAATCGGGCGATATATCATATAGCTGCCATATAACTGAACGATCGGAAAAGCCATAACTTTGGTGTTTGTAAAGTTAAGAAGTTGGGATTTTCTATGGGTTTTATTTTTGGCCAATCAATCCGACATACCGAATTTCATAAGGATCAGACGACTATATCCTATAGCCGCCATATAACTGATTGATCGGAAGTGCCATAACTTTGGTGTTTGTAAAGTTAAGAAGTTGGGATTTTCTATGGGTTTTATTTTTGGCCAATCAATCCGACATACAAAATTTCATAATGATCGGCCGACTATATCTTATAGCTGTCATATAACTGAACGATTGAAAATGCCATAACTTTGGTGTTTTTAAAATTAGGAAATTGGGACTTTTTATGAGTATTAAGAATGCATCAAATGAATAATTTTGAAGAATATAATTTACAAAATATTCTGCAAGGGTATATCAACTTCGGCTCCGTCCGAAGTTAGCTTTCCTTTCTTGTTTAAGATTACTTCCAGATATAGTAATTTCTAACATTTTTATACCCTTGCAGAGGGTATTATAATTTTGGTCAAAAGTGTGCAACGCAGTGAAGGAGACATCTCCGACCCTATAAAGTATATATATTCTTGATCAGGATCACCTCCTGAGTTGATATAGCCATGTCCGTCTGTCCGTCTGTCTGTCCGTCTGTCTGTTTCTACGCGAACTAGTCTCTCAGTTTTAAAGATATCGAATTGAAACTTTGCACACACCCTTCTTTCCTTTGCACGCAGTATATAAGTCGGAACGGGCGGGATCGGCCGACTATATCCTATAGCTGCCATATAACTGATTGATCGGAAATGCCATACATTTGGTATTTGTTACGTTAGGAAGTTGGGATTTTCTATGGGTTTTATTTTTGGCCAATCAATCCGACCTACCAAATTTCATAAGGACTGGCCGACTATATCCTATAGCTGCCATATAACTGAACGATTGGAAATGCCATAACTTTGGTGTTTTTAAAGTTAGGAAGTTGGGATTTTTTATGAGTATTAAGAATGCATCATATGAATAATTTTGGAGGATATACTTTACAGAGTATTCTGCAAGGGTATATCAACTTCGGCTCCGCCCGAAGTTAGCTTTCCTTTCTTGTTATTATTATTATTATTATTGTCTTCACTTAATTATTTTGTTTGGTATAGCAACTAAAATCAAGAGTAAAAAGCCTGAGCCTCGAGTTTTGAAAGGGACTTTTTTTAACAATTCTATACTTGTTAACTTCAGAGTAAAAACGATATTATATATTGCATCCTCCGTTAATCTCCTTATTTTCTATCCCATTCCAGTTGGCGCGCTCCCGTGAGCTTCGCCATCCATACGCCTGGATACGATTTGAGTGTTACACTGGATGCGATTCGGTATGTCCGGAATTGTTTGCCGGGCAGCGAGATCATCAAGGACTGGGTTACCTTCCACGTGTACTTCTCCAACCAGCATATGCCAGTCAACGTGCCATATGACGAGGCCGGGGTCCTGGACCAGCCGTCAAGCTGCACCCTGGCCAATGGATCCCAGGTTCCGCCGCCCTACACTCAAATCGCCCGAAACGAGAGCTACAAGGTCAGGGCCAACCTCACCTACCCGATCAATGTGGGCAGAAACATAGCCAGGCAGGCGGCCAACACCCACTTCATCTTCGCCTGCGACATCGAGTTGTATCCCAGCCTGGGCTTTGTGGACCAGTTCCTGGACATGGTGGCCCATAATCACAGTGTCCTGGCCCTGGACCCCAAACAGCCGAGAAGGGTGTATCCCCTGGCCGTCTTTGAGATCGAGGCGGGAGTCCAAGTGCCCGCCGACAAGTCTGAGTTGTTGGCCCTCTTTCGAAGGCAGCAGGCACAGGTGTTCCACTTGCACCTTTGTCGCACATGCCACACGATTCCAAGCCAGCGAGAATGGCTCAATCTGACTTCTGGCGCAGAGGACCAGATGCACGTGTTCAGTCAAACCCTGCGGAAAAACCAGTTCAAAGCCTGGGAACCATTCTACGTAAGCGACAACACGGAACCATTCTTCGACGAGCGAGTTACCTGGGAGGGACAGTCGAACAAGCGCATACAAGTGGGTACAAATTTCTACATTATTCCCAACATTTATTTGCTTTATTTGTTTGTGTATGATTTGACTTTGTTGTCCCTCCTGTATTAGAAGCTCAGGAAAAGCATCCCTAATCCACCCGCAAATAGTGTGCGCTTAGGTGCATTTAGGGATTACCATACAAAAATGGTTTAAAAATATGGGTACTACGGTCTTGTCATTCCATTTTGTGCTAATCACCCATACGTACTGTTGCCTCAGGTTAATTAATTTATTTGTATCTAAGTGGCCTTACACATTACAAAAAATTGACTGAATTTAAATTAAGTTTACTCAAAGCCACGACACTGTTATTTCAAAACCACTCAACCGAATAGTTTCAAACTGTGCACACAATTTATCCATTTTAAAATCTATGAAGAAACCTAATAATTTTTAAATTTTCGAAAAGTATGAATACATTGATAGATATGGTTGATAATTGGCCCATACCAGTGTGCCAGTAATCAAATGTACCAAGTATCAGCGATTTATTTATTTTTTAATTTATAGCAAAATTACCAAACTTTTAATGGCTAGAAAAAAAATTAGATTCATGGTGGCCAAGCTTCTTTAAACTGCATTTTAAAGATTTTTATTTAATAGTGAGAGTAGGATATTCTAATTGTACCTTGTTCTGAACCTTTTAAGTCGGATATATTTTATAGGGTCGGTCGAGTTTCTGTGCAGTTCCAAAACTTTGAATTTTCAGAGGTCACAGTTACTTTATCACCACATTAGATATTATTTGCATCAATTACACTTTTGTTATGCCCAATAAGTTCATTGCTTAAGTTATGCAAAGCTCACGTTACTTACAAATTCTTTTCTATAATTTCAGAACTATGCAATGTGCCTGTTGGGCTACGAATACCACGTCTTGAGTCCGGCATTTCTAGTGCACAGTCCTGGGATTAAACAATCCAGCGAAGGTGACTCGTCTCGTCGTGAATTCGCGAAGGAAATGAACAAATTTATCAAGAACAAAATCGAGCCCGAGTATCGCGTGCTGTTTGGACAGAATAAAGCCTGCAAGACGTGACATCAGTCTCTCTAGGCTGAGAAGCGAGTAATATTCGAACTATAGTTATAGTTTGGATATCCATGTTATTTATTATACATACATATGTACCTATTAAACGACATAGGTTGTTATGTGCACGGGTGCAAGGTATTGCGATGTTAGTTGTCTTAACATAATTGATGTTAGTGTGAGACGTATATTTAGTATAGAGTAGTATAGGTTAATTAGTACCATGTTTTAAAGAATGACTTGATGACGTCTAAAATAAAAAACGAATTTATAAATGAATTATACAGTTTTTGATGAAATTGTTGCTGTGTTGTAGTTCTTATGGCTCTGTGGAACTCGGGGTATATTAATTTAAGGGGGTATGGTTAATTCGGCCAAAAAAAGGCCTATTTTCATGAATTTTTTTACGCGAGACGGTTAATGTCAGATCAATTATTTTATAAGCATATAAAAGTACAAAATTTAAGCTACGTTTTCACGAATTTTCATACAAAAAAAAATAAATGAGCCGATTGCAGCAAAGCTCCGTAGGCAAAAGGTTTTGCGGTGAACAGCATAACTCGTAACTGGATCATCAAAAAAAACAAAAAAAAAAATTGTTTATTAGTTAATATGTTTCTAGAGGTAACTACGTTGAGTTTTTTTTTATTTATTTAATTTTTGGATTTTTGGTAACACTTTAAAGTCAAACCGTGATTTTAACCTAAAAATTCGATATAGTTGTTATTATAACATGAAAAATAATCAGTAAAAAAAACAACTGCGGATTTAGGTACAGAAATTGTGTGCAAAATTCAAATCGATTCGTTTGGTAGATTTTGCAGGATCGTGTTCACCGACTTTGAAATTGCAACTTTTCAGGAGAGCGTTTTAAAGTTTTGGACACCGAAAAATCGCATACAAAACGAGCTAACTCACCTACGTTTAACTGCCCATAACTTCGGAAGTTTTAGTCGGATGAATCTAAAATTTATCGTAATATTCTTCAAATGTTGTCCATTAAAAAAAAAAAAATTTTAAAAAAGGGCCAAAAAAAATTTAAATACCATATCCCCCCCTTAAGATGGTAAAAAAGAAATCTTCGACAGGATGCCATCATTTGATTTAAGTCGTAACTCTTTCTTTATGCAAATAGTCTTCATTAATAGCGTTGCGTAACAATACGTTCGATAAAAGCTCTTGCCTCTGAAAGAAATCTGACGAGACTTCATGAGGTGGTTTTTGTATAATCTCCCCATCGGTTGATTTGTCCTGCCACCATTTGGACTGAGGCATGCCCCACAATTTTTGCCCTGCCCTGGGCATAACATAAATAATTATTGGTTGTTGGGGGATCGGGTAATTTAATGCCATTTCTTTGTGAGTAGTTCCATTGATGATGGGATTTAGGGGGTCTGTACCGTAAAGTCGTTGGTATCGTTCACTCCGCACCAGAAACATAACTTGCACGAAAGCAATCAAGAGCAACGTGTCGTAAGCCACCAGCACTGAAAATAAAAACTTTTATAAAGAATGTTATCGAGCGATTCTGATTCTTACTTGCGTAAAATGTCAGTCCGAGGGTGAGGAGAATTAAGGTGGCCAGCGGTACAATATGTCTGGCAATCCGAAGGGAAATAATAGTTAATACAACTACTTGGACTGTATAAAAAAACTCAAAGATAGCCAGAGGAATAACGTGGTATTTCTTGAGCTGCGTCCAAAAAAAAGGATAGCGGTTAATGAACATTAACAAATAAAAACTCAGTGTAATGTGATTGATTTTCTTCTTTCTTTGATCTAGGGTGTATGTCATCAGTTACTCTGTCAGTATTGAGATTAAATTCATTGAAGTACAAAACTATATTTAAAGAACAAAATTAATACTATGTTGTTTTAATTATATAAAAATAAAATTGATCAATCAAAATAAACATCTGTGCCAGTTTTTTCTGTGAGTTGTAATTGTCCTCAAGTTTTTTATGAAGTAAAATTACATAGCTGTCGACTTATTTCAAAAAATTAGTTTGTAGTACTACTTGGGTATTTTTATCTTAAATCATGGCTAATTTAACACATATATAATACGATTAAGTTAAAAATGGGGTTTTAATAAACGAATTTTTTTTCTCATTATAAAAACTACGTTAAGCTTACCAAGAGTACTAGAAAAGGAGGTGTGATGAAAAAATTGATCGTGCCCTACTTCATTTTGATATAAAAATCTAGAAAAATTTCTTTCAGAGCGTTTGCATCAACGCAGACTATGTCTGCGTTTTTTTTCTTTGCACTATGATTTTAAAATGCTTAAAATGCCTCTTCTTGCATTCGTTAAAAGAAATGTTATATGCTTGTGTTTTGTTAATATTTGGTACACTCTTGAAGATGGACCATGACAGGGTTTAAAATATATTAGAGAAAAGAAAGAAAACTCAATGCAAATAGAGGCACTATAAACATCAAGACCTTGAGCCGGCAAAGAACACGCTATAGCAACAGGTCATTAAAAATTACAAAAATATCTCTTTGAATATTCTAAAAGCTTCCGATAATTTGTGATAATGCATCGATGAAAACACATTGAATTTGTACTCTGTATTTGTTTCCCCCTTTTACATTTTCAATTGCTTTTCACCAAAGTGGGAGTGTTTAAGCCAGTTTCTCTAACACCCCCTTTCAAAATGACACCCTTCTCGCCGTGCATCAGGGAATGCTTTACCTTGTATGCTCCAAAGGCCGCCAACATGCAAGTTACAATATGACAAAAGCTGTAGAGTTGGAAAAACATCATAAGCTCTTTGGGATCTGAAAGTGAGTTGGCAAAATTTTTTAGATGAAATAAATTCCAATAAAATAATAAATAATAATATTTTACATTTTGGCAAGCCAAAAAACTTTGAAAAAAATGATGTATTGCCTAAAACATTAACATTTTGAAGTAAAATTTATCCTTTACTCAGTTAACTTCCAAAGGAATAGACAATGAAAACTTTTCTTGAATGTCTATATGGCATTTTACCGCCCAATAACTGGCGGCTATCAGGTCTCAAAAGTTTTTCGATTTGTAGCCGTTAGAGTAGGCGTGGCAACTTTTTGAAAAAAACTTGCGCTGCGTATTAAAACATAGAATCTTAAATCCAAATCCAAAATATCTCTTCATACGGACGGACTAGCAGACGGAAATGGTTTAATCGACTCGGCTATATAAATTCCGAGTACTCTACGAAAATCGAGAATCAATTAAAAAACGACACTTCTAAAGTATTTTGTATGCATTTTGTTCCTGTATTGACTTTTAAAAAAACACAAAAATTGTAATTTGCATTTTCTACAATTATGTTGTGCTAGCTTCAAATTTTTTTCATTTACTTGTCAATAACAAAATCCAAAATGAACGCTTTAGTCGATTTTACCGACTTACTTCCTTAAAAATAGTCAAATTTAGAAAGTTTGTTGGTATCTAAAACCATATTTTCAATATTAACTCACTGAGTACATTTCTTAACCATAAAATATATATGAGCCGCAGAAATATGGTAGTGGGAGTAAAAAAGGGCGTGGACGATTGGGGAAACAAATTCGAACTGCTTTATCATTACTACAATCTGTATGGAAATCCGTTTAAACGGACAGACTTACAGCCATTTTAACGATAACAATATTGTAAATGGAATTCACTCTTTTACTCTACGAAAAATCGATTATTGTTGTGGGTATTTAACATGTTAATTGCAGTATCCTTATTATGTAAGTTATTAAGTTACTTATCATGTTCCAGTTCATTCCTGACATGCAACTCACATTGTTCCACCCATTTGGACGATTCCCTAATAATAGTGCTAGTCCTATAATGAGTTTCCAAAATGCGAGACAGCGCGAAGATGAAAGATGTTCCATCGGTGAATATAACCCACATAATGAGGGTGCTTTTCAACTGATTACGATTAAAAGGAGTTCAGCTTAACTGCAATGCGTCTAAATCGTTCAAATCTTGTTCAAAACTCACGGCGGCAGCGGTGCAAATGACCAGGACACCCAGTCGCACCGAGGCACAGAAAAAGTAGCTCTCCATGAGCACCATGTTGGCGCAGGACTATCAGGACTAGCAGCCATAGCTAATGTCGACATCGTGTGCCTCGCTCTTTGAGACCTGGCCAACGAATGATAGATGTTGGCCATTCGAGCCTGAATATGACTCCTTTGACCATGGTCTCCATTACCGTATTACCGCAATCAGATTGGCATCTTGAACATGTTTCTGTCATTTTCGGTGCGGTAATTAGTCTGTTTGTGTTCTGCTTTGGTGACAGTGACTGACTCACCACATTTTCTGTGGTTCGGTTGGATAACTCAGTTGTGATTTACGAGCGGACATTACTAGTAATACCAAATTCAATATGTTATTTATGGAATCATATATGTGTTATTGCTCAGTGCGGCTCGGTGCCATTATCGTCTCCGTTCTGACGATTGTAAGTGACTATATATTGTCTTTATACCAAATGAATCTAGCCCCTTATCCTTCCAGATTCGAAGCTTAGCTCAAAGTTTGGTTCTTTTCACGATGGGTGTAAAGGTCTTCGAGCCATTAAACGATTTGTTTGAGCACGATGCGGAGTACAAGGACAGGAAGTGGGTTAGGAAATACATCAGTTGGAGTGAGGACTGTAAGTGCCATGGATTAGAGTGATAAATAACTCATGTAATATTTTGGATTTATAGCTCCTGAGAGCTTCACTGCAGTTTTTCAGATTCTATCCTTTTCTCACATAGCAGCTGCCATATTATGCATCTGGGGTGCCATCAAGGTAAGTCCTTGATGCAATGTCCTTGCAATTTCCCGCAGTCCAAGTATTTTCGTCGCTTCATTTAGTTACAGAAATGGTTTGTGCTTCCCTTGGCATTCTTCGAGTTTCTCTACTTTATTAACATTACGGGTCTTCACATTGTTCTGATGATCATGCTCAAGAAACAGATAAACTTGGGCTTTCTTATAATTCTCACTCTGATGGGGTGCTTTTATATATGTAAGTGATACTTTAATCGCAAGTTGGCTTTCGATATTGTCTTCGGACTCTTAAACAGTTTCAGGTAAAAAATCATGAAAAGTATGTACATATGACACAAGTCCGGCGCTATATATTGTTAGTGTCAATTTAAATTTAAAATTACTTATAATTCACGACATAACCCATAAATATTATTACCCTAAATATCACTTAAATGCTCAACTTAATTTACCGCAAAGTACATTCATGCAAATATCGAAGTCTAAATATACAAACTTTTGACCAATTAGATTAGATTACAAAATTAATTTTTTTACCCTTGCATAAGGTATTATAATTTAAGTCAGTAGTAATTGCAAGGGTATGTAAATTTCGGCTTGCCGAAGTTTGCTTCCTTTTTTATTTGTTCTAAAATTAAGACCCAACTCCGAAAATATGATAAAGTAGTCCGATATGTCCCGTTGAGTACTAACTGCAACAAAAGAAAACTTTTGGGAAAGTAGCATCTGATAGTTTCAGATAGTTCTAAAACTGAAAGACTAGCTTACGTCAACAGACTGACAGACGGACATGGCTATATCAACTCATCTCGTGCCACTGCGTTGCAAACATTTGACTGAAATTAAAATGCCCTCTGCAAGGGTATAACAACCCAAAGCGCTTTTAGCTTATTTGAAATGTAATTGCTTTGATTCAGACACCGATACCGCTAAACGAAAAGTTGGATTGGGCGGTAAAATCATTGCGTGGGATTAATGGAAAATGTATGTACGCAATGTGTACTACACACCGCATATTGAAAATGTATTAGTGCCAAGTTATTATTATTTTGCAGTTTTCAGCAAGTAAGGGAACAACAAAATGAACTCCGATGAAATGTCAAGTAATTGACATATTTTCTAATTATTATCATAAAAATGCGTGACTAGTAGATTACAGAGTTGCCACGGCTGAATGAAAAAAGATAGACCTTCAAGAATTCGATGTTCGATGCGAATATAATTTAAAAGGATCTTTAGTAAAACTTAAAATTTTGTTTAACACGTCGTTCAAAATACAGCTTACATTGGCTTAGATAAAAATTAGATAAAAAGATAAAAATTTGATATTTAGTAAGGACATACGCGCATACGAATATGCCAGTATAGCATCTGTTTTGTTAAAAATGATTGAACAAAAAGTAGATTTGAGCTTCAAATTGATTTGATTCAGTTAAAACATGTTCATGAATCGTATGTATGTTCACTTAAAATTAATTCTTTTTCTTTTCTTACACTTTTTAGAAAAGGTTTATTTATTCAAGTTTTAATGCTAACAACTAACATTTGAAAGTACAAAATATAGAATTATATTCTGGTAAGAAAACGGGTAGCTTACAAATTCGGGATTTTTTCTGTACGTTTTTCTAAATGTGGAGAAAAATAAGAAAGTTCGTCAGAACTAAGTAATGCAATGGCTTATGTTAAGATAATATATTAATATTGTTTTTTCGATTTTTCAAGATTATTAACAAATTTAACTATTCTTTACCGAATTATTTTTAGAACTGAATTTTGCATTAAAATCAGACAACTTAATTCGTTAGGAGCGCGGTGAGATTCAGATCTTTAACATATTGTTCTCTTCCGGTTTTTAGTTTATATAATAATATAATGATATAATATAAAAAGTAGAATAAAATAATATAAACCAGTTTTACCACCAAATATAGTTGGTCCTACGCAGCGTCCACCAATTAATTAATTTTTCCATTGTAAAACCTCTTTTCTTCTCTCAGTATTTGTTGGCTACAACGCCTTCACATGTGTGGCCATGTTCCAGATAATTAGCCTGGTGAAGAGTGCCCGCTATCGCGAGCTCTATGGCGAGGATCCATTCCATCCGCTGGTCATGAGGACCACCCAGCAGAAGGACTCTCAGAAGCCGCTCCAGGTGCTTCGTATGCACGACATGCACGACACAAACATCGACGAGCAGAAGCGCCTGAGCAAGATCGGAATGTGGCCACGTCGTCCTCCGCCCCTTGTGTCCGTCCTCCCCGTACAGCCGCGGTATCCACAGCCCCAGCTGAAGTGGTGGCAGCAACAGGCCCTAAACACTGGCGACGCCGACCCCCAGGACACGTCCGCGTACCGCAACTGGCAGCCAACGGAGCTGTTGAACGGAGTGGGCGGTGAGGTGCAGCGCAAGAGTGACCTAAACCGACGATATGCCGAAAACCAGATGTATCGATGGTACTGATCAGGGTGATGAGGATTGGTAAGTAGTCATAACTTGAGCAACTAAACACATTCTTCTTCTCCCCGAAAAATAGTGGACTTAAATCTAGGTCATGCAAGATCTTTAAAATACAAAGTGAACTAATATTTAGTTTAGTTAATACATTATCTAATAGTACTAAAATAAAGACTAATTTCCTACTTTTTAGGTTATGTGGATTAGGTTAGGTAAATTATGTAGGTTTTATTGGGGTCAAATATGATACAATAAAATGGCATATATTTTAATTTTAGGCTAACGTGCAGACACAGTTTTTTGGAAATAGTTTTTTTAAATTCTAATAAAGGAAAAAAAGAACTATAGTCTTAAATGAGCGCTTGGCGCAATGCGAAATCACATAACTCTGGCGCGAAAGTCCTGATTACGATTCTCAGAGGAGGAAAAATTATTTATATATTTATCAAAATTAAATTCTAGAATTGAAAAAAAATGGAGCTAATATACTACAATTTAAGAAATTAAAAAAAAATGTTCCCCCTTTCTACTAAAGTTTACCATTACTTATAGTTTTTAGTAACTTAAAATGTTTAGGTCATAAATTTTGCAACTTTTGGCCCTTAGGTAATAAATTCTTAAATTTCAGATATTTTTAAATTTTGGGTCAGAGCTTTAGACTTAACGCATCAACACCATGGAAAGAGAATTATTAATTATTGTCTTCTTTATAAGTTGTACAGTTTTAAACTTTAAATACCATATATATGTAAAGGCTCTTATTACTAAATAAATATTCTGAAAAAAATTATCGATATATCAAAATCCTGTAAACTAAAATAACATTTATTTTGATGTTACGTTCACTGTGCATATAGTGACGAATCATATCGGAAGTGAGAGGGATGCAGATACTACACTTGAAAATAAACGTTGATTTTGGACAAAGGTCTTTGAATTTTTAGCAAAGTGATGTGTTTTAAATAACAAAGCTAATAAAGTTAGCACAATTGACAATGGTTTCCATTTTATTATTTTATTAGTTAGGAGCGATGTTTGCATTTTTCAAAGAAAGAGGAAATCAGAAAATGACTTTTGAATTTTTGCCGAAGGGTGATTTTTGTTCCTATACTATTTTAAAATAATAAGAAATCGGGAAAAGGAACACCACGGAACCGCACCATCTCGTATATGACTTATTCTAAAGTGACAACGGGCATTTCATATTAGAAATTTTCTTTGGTGACGTCTTTGGTGACAAAGCCAGTCGGGGGGGTAAGTTATCGGTGAATTTAGAAAAATAGTCGAACAGATAAGCAATTGGTTACCCATGGGAAATAAACAGTGGCCATTGTTAAATAGCTCATTATTTATTGTCCCAATTCATGAGCTGATATTAGAAAAAATTCCTTTCTCAAGCAGAAGTAAAATGTTTTTGTTAAAATATCCCTCCCTGTCTTTCAATAAAGAAAGATTTTCTTGAACCAATATTTTGTTCTTGATCCAAAGGCTCGTAGACATTAGATATATATATACTGGCGGAAAGGTATCAATTTAGAAGACAGTTTAGTTGTAGAAGTGAAAAAGTAAAAAGAAATGTTGTGAAACTTAACACATTGCAAAGTTAAAATGTTCTGATTGAAAATTTGACGGGAAGTAACTCTAATCAAAAGTAATACTCGAACAAAAAATCGATAAAGTAAGTTACAGCAATGTTAGTATGCTTAGTAATACTAATACTAAGTTCATCCGAAAGCGTTTTAAAGACTGGGTGCACTTGTCTTCCAGTAAGTGTGCAAGTATGTGATGACCTAAGCAGTTCTAACATTCATGAGTGTCAAGATGAGTGTTAAGTGGACAACTTCGTTATGAGTCGAGCTGCTAACCCCCGCCCTTTCTTACAGAGTGTTCTTGCAGCCTGGATACTATCCCAAAACAGTTCCCTGCAGTATGAGAAGACGAATATGAAAAGTGTAATTAAAAATATGTTTTGAATTTAGCTGAAAAAGCTATGCCGTCGGCTAGGTCGACGACACAAAAGAAAACGGCGCAGCGCCACATGCTGCTGGCGAAAACGGAATTTTTCATTGTTCTTTCTTCATGGCTCTATGTTCTGCCAAACCCAGTTTTAATAAAATTAAATTGTCATAAAATTATATTATTTAATTATAGTAACAATACGATTTTTTAAATGGACATTTTCAATTAAATTATATAATTTATTCTTAATGCAAAAAAATAGGTTATAAGATAAGAATCATAGGTGATCAATTATGACCTACCTCAATGCAAAGAGGTAAGATGAGGTCCATAAATATGACCTAATATGACCTTCCTCGCTTCTTGTTTATGATCAATAATAAATTGGCTTTACATACTTCTTTGATTTTTTTCGAAGCTAGAAAAAGTAACAAAACGCTTGTGGTTTTCAATTTGTGGTTAAAATTTTATTCGACTTTTAGAATAAAAATGCTTTACTGTAAACTCGAAGTGGTTCAAACAAATATAATAATAATTAAATAAAAATTCTAATAAGATAGGCATAACAAAAGATTAAATTTGGTTTTTTTATATCTTTCCAGAGGCAATGAAGATTAATAGCCCTTCAGAGTCATCCGGGAAATGTTATTAGCTAGAAATGTAAAAAATGTTTGAATTATAATAACACGTTTAATTTCAATTCAACACAATTTAATAATAACATAATAACAAGTATATAAAACTTTAAAAAATAAATCAAATTTTGTTGATTGTTTTTCTTATCAAACTATCATGACATTGTCTATTTGTCTTATTCTTAGGTGTCATCGGGTATTTCATATATGACATTTCCTTGAAATGTCATTGGTGACACAGCCAAGAAGCGTATAAGTCACCATACAAAATATTTTAATATGTTCGGCACCCACCTTTGAAAGGGAAAAAGAATCAATAGCTTTCGTACGTATTTATCTAAATTTATAGTCGTAAAATTTCTCGGCTGCCATTAAAGAGATTGTCCAAATTAATATAACTAAATTAATACAATTGGAAAAACATTCAAATATTCTTGTTCTTTTGAAATAAGGAGACTAATTTCTATAGCTGCCAAAGTTATCTTTCTTTCTTATTTCCGGAATAAATAAGTACACTACATACATACACACAAAGCCCTAAAAGTTTATAGTAAAGTAAATTTGTACTAATGCATTAGTGTGCATGCATTTTTGGTGAAAATATAATAGTTTCCAAGAACAAAAATATCCTTATATCCTCAATGGTAAATAGATTCCTTGAAATACAAAACATCTTTCTTTTTAGTATCACCAACATTTAAAAATCAAAAACAGAAATTTTAACTTTAGTGGCTTATTTATATTCCATATATGTAAAGCAACAACTATCCTGGAAATTCGCTTTATATGGGCCAAATAATTTTAAATGTCGTCAAAATTTAATTTCGTATTCTTAGCTTAAAAAAAAACGTGTATTATGGATATTCCAGGAAAAACATGTCCATTGTAAAAAATTCCAGAAATCTTATTTTTGAGTAACTTTTGAACAGAGAATTGGCAACAAGAATGCAACTAGTCAAATAAAATGGAACATTCTGTCCCGAGTCATAAATGTCTTCATCACACACATTAAAATGTGAGGAATACCGATTTAATACCATTTTGAAATGTTGCTTATTAAAAGCCTTATCTACTTATTCAATAAGTCATCGATTCATCTCTCCTGCACTTTGCCGAGCTAAGCAATTCAGGGACCCCTTCTCAACAATAGACCAAACTTTATATCTCGCTTGGATTAGCTGTTTGGGCTTTTGGTGAACGCTTTGCATAAACGGCACTACAGATTATGCAACTGTCTGGGAGACACTTTGCATATCCTCGACCAGGAAGCGGGATGCTTCAATGCCCGGTTCGATTTACAAATGCTTTTCCCACTTTACATTTCCAACAAAGTGCACTGCGACCGGAACGGCGACAGAGTAGGTGGTCGAAAGAGACGGCGAGTGAGCCAGAGAAAAGGATGGGGATACTTGGCGGGCCATTGCATTGTGTTGGGCGAACGACAAAAATCCAATGCTCAACACTTGGTGACGCTTGCAATGGACCGTGAGTCGAAGTGGGAGGAGCAGGGAATTTGGAGCTCCCAATTTCCCCCTGCTCTTTCTCCATACCCTTCTGTTCCTCGAATATCTGCCATCAGAAGTCCTTGAATATCTGCCATCAGAAATCCGGCCACATGGACATGACTTGGCCTCGGGAGATTTCTGCGCTATGTGTTGACAGTTTTGTTGACTGCTGGCTATTTGCTGCTGCCTCTGATGCTTTTGGGATTGCAGCTACTGCTCCTAGTTACACAACTTTTTTTATATTTTAATTAACAGTTTAAAAAAAAATTAGATTTCAAGTCAATCAGAGCTAGTCGTGTTAGTTTGTGGATTCTGAAAGCTGGCCCACACATTTCTTTCTGCTACCACTATACACTCACAAATAAAAGTATACTTTTGCTTTAAGAACAAGAAAAATGAAATTTGGATTTTCAAGGATTTTCCAGTTGACTTATGCTTTTGTAGTCTAAACTAGTAAGAATTTTATGATTTTAAATTTAAGAAAATACATTGGTAACAAGCATTGCTGTGTTCGTTGAATATTTTACTTAACAATTGGTAAGCATCTCTTATTCGATTTTAGTTATTTTATGTTTTGTTGAAGATACTTTTCAGACGCAGCTTATACGCTTTTCGGTGGAGTTTAACAAAATGAGGCCCAGCAAGTCGCCTTCGATTGAAAACCTCCGAATAATAATGAATCCGATATATTTTTTAAATAAATGCATTATTCTAATGATTAGTGTTTTTAATTTTAATATTTTACACAAAACGAGTATAATTAATCAGTAGGGCATTTTGTATTAATATTTAGAATCATATCAACCAGATATTAAAGATCATAACACTGTGATATGAGAAAATAACATTTTTACCATTGTTGCTTAAAAGTGTCAGTCTGTCATTCTCGAAAAAAAATCAAATTTGAAAATTTTTCCACGCCTACTTTATAGAGACGTGGTATATTTGGTCTATATCTATCGACTCAGCCAAAACCTCAAAATTGAATATTTATTTCAGAAGTTATCAAGAGTTTTACATAGTCAATGACCTCATCTCTTGTTATGAAAAAATACCTGATTGAATTAAAGTGTTTGGATATTCCATGTTAATCTTTCTGGGATGTAAGCTTCACTTATCCTGTCGTCAGCATTTTAAAACCACTTCCTAAAGGACATCAACAAAGTCTTTAGAACACGTTTGGGACACACGTAAGACGATACGTGTCTCTGATTATCTGCCGTGTGCTTAGTACCGGCTTACGTTACAAAAAAACAAATGCCAAATTCTCCAGGTGCGGAACTTAAAAAAACAGTCAAGAGAATTCGCCACAGTGAACAAATAAAATGTGATGCCTTGCTGAGAGTTAACAATTTTTGTTTAGACACTTGAAACGCATTGAATTCTGTCGTATGTATATATTCATATATATAGGGGAGATTAACATCTGCAGGTTGAGACGGCCTGTAAAAAAAGCTTCTAAGCTACATAAGAAAACAAAATTTATTTAATTTATTTTATTTAATGAAAACTTAAGTTCGGAGAAAGCACAACTACTATTTTTTGGTTGGAATCAAAGTTAAGTGTTGACCGTTCTATTGCTAGAATGGTTTTAAGTCTTAGAAAAACAGTATTTAGTCACAACTTTTATTAAAATAAACCATAAATTACAGGTGACATAAAGTGTGGATTCGTTTCGCAGGCCAATATCCGCTCCTGAGCGGGAAAATGCAAAGTGCTAGCCTGGGCAGGCTCAACAAGTAGGTGGGACTGTTTAGAGGTGGATTGCGACTAGTAGACATGCCTTATAAATGCCTGATAGAATTTTAAATTCAATGTGCGTGTATGTGCAAAGCTGTAAAGGATTTAACTTGGGAATCGACTGGAAAGTGAATTAAAGATTAGCTAAGAGTGATTTGCACATAACTAAATTAGAAATATGAGGAAGGAAGCATTTTTTTTGGTGATAGTTGAGCATTGCACTTTGAACTTAGTTAATAATGCAGTGAGGTTTGTTCAGATGAATCCAAAAGGTATTGATTGACGTTCCACCCAGTGATTTATTAATGAATTACTTTTACACATTTATTCCCAGCAGTAAATAATATTTATATTGTGCACACTTTTGCGCAAAATGGTTAGCAACGCAAGGACAATTCTTAATTAGACGTTCATCTCAAATCGTTGGCAGATGATGCTCGGTGCGATGAAGGAGGTTTGCGTTCTTGTTCAAGGGCTGCAGCTTTACGTAATCTTGATGCGGGTGATGATGATGCTGCGTGCTGGGCAGCAGCGGTAATGATGTATTTGAAGTCTGTAAAAAAGGTAGATATTAATAATTTACACTTTATTTATTGCCAAATACATATTATATGAACTAAAATAAAAAAGTGTATACCAACATTATTGCAATCATTTGGTATAAGAAATAACCTTTGTAAATTGTTATGAGTTGAAATATATATATTCCTGATACTATTCGTGTATCTTACATATGAAAGAAAATAAATTATTCTTGTTCAAGAAGAAACAAACAATCCTAAACCTAATAATTTAACAATTTCTCTTACGTGTTCCAAATAATTATGTTCTAATAATTTTGGGGTATATACCGAGCCTTATTAATTGCATTCCCAATTTACGATTGTTCTGAGAAATATTTAAAAGACAAAACTTCCATTGGCTTAATATAGCTCCTAATGAAGTTTGTATAATTTCCCATATTCCCAATGAAAAATAAAGCTCCTGATTAGGAAATTTTGTATAATCCAGAGGAAAATAACAGTTTTTAACAGAAAATATATTTAACGAATATTTCTTATGCGAATACAAAATATTAAATAAAGGAACATGAACTACTATACTTTACGAATGTATAGAATAATCAAGTAAACCACATACTCTTTTCCAATTTAATTACGATGAAATAAGCATTTTTTTAAACCGAACTTCCCTGAAACAGTTTTTAATCAAATTGCATTAATAAATATAAAAACCTAAAAAAATTGAAATCTTTAATGATTGAGTAGAATTAAATTAAATTAATTTTTTTGTTAAATTAAATATTACATATGATAGATATATAACAGATACGGAAAGTAAGTAAGGCGAAAATTTCAGGAAAACTGAAATCAGGTATGTTTGGCGCATGATAATAATATGCATTTATGTCTACCTATAAAAACTAAATTCTTAAGTGACCACTGTTTGAACTAAAACTGTTTTATTATTCAACTCAAGGTAAGGTTAGAAATAATGAGTCGGTAGTTAAGTTCGGTTGAAATTTACATCAACATAAAATGTGCACTCTAACCGAATTGTGAAGGTTTAATACGGAAATGTCTCCCAAAACTCCAAACCAACACTATAATACCCTCTGCGGAGGTACAAAGAGTGCATATTCAGCGACATGCTGCTCAACGCATACTTCTGCCTGTTGGGTTACACATAGACACATAAGCAAGGTCCTGTCCACGCACCTTTGATTTGTCCCTGGACGCCGCGATGGCCGCCGCCTGGGCGGGACCAGTCTGCAGCTGCTGGGCGGCGGTGGCCAGCATGAACTGCTGGGAGGCGAGCTGCTGCTGGCGGAGATTGGCCGCCTCCAGACTGTTGACGTGCTCCAGCTCGCGCTGCTTGGCGATGTAGTCGTCGAAGTAGGAGTGCTTTATAAGCTTCTCGCAGGACCAGCGCTTGGCCGGGTCCTTGTCCAGGCACTTTTTGAGAAAGTCGATGGTCAGCGGGTTCTGCAACGACTTGGCCGGCATCTTGTCCTCCAGCGGCTCCAGCGTGGGCGGCACCGGCAGTGTGATGCCCTTGAAGTACTCGTTCTGCCCGAAGATCTGGATGTGGCGCGGCAGCAGGTCGCCGAGAGTCTTGCGGATCAGGTAGAGCTGGTCCACGTCGCTGCGCCCCGGCCACAAAGCCTCGCCCCGCACCAGCTCGGCGAACAGGCAGCCGATGGCCCACACGTCCACGGGGGTGCCGTACTGGGTGTCGCCCACCAGGAGCTCCGGCGCCCGGTACCACCGCGTGGCCACGTAGTCCGTGTAGTTCTCCCCGGGACTGAGCATCCGGGCGAAGCCGAAGTCGCACAGCTTCACCTGGCCCTGGGCCGTCAGCAGGATGTTCTCCGGCTTGATGTCCCGGTGCAGGCAGCCCTGCTTGTGGCAGTAGGCCACGCCCAGCAGCGTCTGGTAGCAGATCTGCTTGGTCAGGTGCTCCGGACAGCCCTGGGAATGGCGCTCCAGCTCGTGGAGCACGGTCAGCTCGCAGAACTCGAAGACCAGGTGCAGGCGCCGCTTCCGGCGGAACACTTCCAGCAGGGAAACCAGGTTCGGATGCTTGAGGTTCTGCAAGTTTGAGAGGGAAATTTCGTTAGGCCTCGTGATATCCTTTATTAATGGTATGTTAGTCTCCGGCCTTCACTCTACAGAATAAAAAATGGCAGTGCTTCGTTCTTAATTCCATATAGTGAGAGTCCTCGGTGAATATTTATAAAAATAGTTAATATATTCAGATATAGTACATTTAGGACGACAAACTACAAAATAATAAAATTGTTTTTTGCATTTATTGTTGTCCAAAAAATTAAACAATATTAATAAAAAATCATTATTTTTGTTCAATTTTAACTGGGACGTTTCTATTAATTTGCCCGATAAATAAATCTAGATAATACAATTATTTATTTTACTGTTTCTCCAATTTACTACTGACACTATTAGATCCCAGACTTAAAAATCCAAGTCATGGCTAACTACTTTTTGAAAATGCATTAACGGCCCAAAAGAGAACTGAAATTTCTCATTGTAAGCTGTTTACATAAATCGAAAAGCCAATTCTTGTCAGGCAGCCGCTGTCCGAAGTTTTGAATACGAATTTTGACAATAAGGCAGAGGAACCAAAGATTCCATGGGATTAAACAGTATTCATAAGTTGCGGATTTTAAATTATTTATTTAGTTACATTACCATTTTTGATGGCAGCCCTTGCGTAGAAATATTACATTTGAGTAAATTGTGTTTAGTTAATTAACTATGGGTTGGGGACTTGCAACTATTTTATTGATTAACTTGACCAATGAATTATTTTCGTGTGTGTTAATTACGAAACAACTGATATTATTCTCGGCAGTTTAATTGATATAAGAAATACAATATAAAACAAGGATAAGTTCATCTTTTAGATCCTTCTTCCTCGAGATGCAGCCTATTTCATTTTTTGGTTTTACTATGTTGCACAGTTGCCATGGCTTTTCCTTAGAAAAGATAGTCACGAAGAACCCATAAAATAAACAAATTCAACTTTTACTATGTTAGTAAGCCTTTTATTTGTTCCAAAGTAAATTTGGGTGCTTGCAGTTAACGATTGGGAGTACCCCGGGATTATGGGCAAAATAAAACCCAGAATTTGTGCAGATAGATTGTCGGCACTTACCTTCAGTAGCCTAATTTCTCTTAGTGCAATCTTTCGTATGGCTGGATCGTCTTCAGACTCCACAAACCTCTTCACCGCCACCAAAGCACCCGTTTCCCGATCCCGGCACTTGTAAACAATTCCATAGGAGCCCTCGCCCAACCGACTGAGCTTTTCATAGCGATCCATTTTGCTGCTACCTTGTGGTCTGTAAGGAAGATAACGAGAAAGAGTTATCCGGAATGCCCCCTCAATTGCGGTGAATGGTTAGTTTGCAGTAAGGAAGCGGTTTTACCTTAAGCTCAAACATTGGCCACGTTTGATGTTTGCACGTCGCATTGCTTTGCATTTAGCACATAAAATGTTTAAAAACTGTTCTGTTTGATAGCTCAGACACGAACACATGTGGGACCACAGGGGCAGACTTGGATTCGAGTGTATACGAGTATGGAGGTATTTTCGTTCTGGTATTTATGTTGTGGGCTGATTGGGGGTGTTTGGTGTTTATTTACAAGACTCTGTATTGGATTAGTTTTGTTTTTAGGATGTCCAGAACATTGTAGAGGTTTTGTTACACGAATCTGGTATGACTTGCGTTTTTTTGTTAGTGGATTTCGATGGAATGAAACAAAAACAAATGAGAAAACGTTATGAATAAGTAAATTTATTAAGAATGTGAAATTTGGGAAAAGCAATTGGTAAACAAAAAAACCAATACTCGTCGTATCTTAAAAATGTTTTGTAACTGCTCACTACATAGTTGTAAAAAGTGTTGAAAAATTGGTCGAGGTCTGCAAATAAATCGATACTATGAAAATTTAATCGCCATTAAATACGGAAGCCTAAATAATTAACTTTCTACAATCAATAATCTTTTTTTCATATATATAATTCGTGGTTAAAGTTATCGCTTTACAAAACAAGTAACGAAATAGAAATAATTTCTTACGGAAAGTCTTTTGCAATTTATTTAAGAAACAAACCCTGTACGAATTTGTATTTATTATAATACTATTTATGTTGCCAAGCAAGTTGATTTTATGCTAAATTTCGTTTTTAGATTTTAAACTAGAACTTTACCGTTGACGTGAAATGAAATGAATTGTGTGGGGAACTTGATTGACTGATTGAAAAAGATTCTGCCCAAACGTTCTAAGGAAAAATATTTAGTTCAGCTATTAATTAGTTTGAAATGAAATTATAAAACATATATTAAAATAGTTTTGTTTAAAATATATTTTCCTGTCACTAAAAATTTTTAGGTAGAGTTGTTTTATTAAACAGTATTGTAGAGTATGAAAAATTTTAATTTAAGCAAAAATGATTTTTGTAGCGCCGATACATGACATTTCTATGACACCATTGTCAACAGAATTTTGGTATTTTCTAAGCCAATTTTTATTCTCGAGTTTATTAAAGTAGTATTCCCACAAAATTATATATACTTGTAGATCGGAACTCATACCCAAATGGACTTGTTTGGTCCTTATTGAATGTCTAAGAAATGTCTCGATCCAGTTTTACTCGGTTTGTATGAAATTAAAAGAATTTGCCTATCAAAACTGCGAGATTTATTTTATAACCGGACGAGTTCCTTTACTTTGATATTGTTTGAGCACCATCAAAACCGCTATTAAAATAAAAAGTTTTTTTTGAGAAAAATTTGAAACGCTCTATTTTTTTAATCACAAGACATAAGGTTAAATTTAATAATATGAAAAGATTGAATGAAGAAATAAATCATATCGGCGTTTTAGATGTTCAATTTCCATTAGGTACGGGAACAACACCAATAAACATCGGAAAACCCACGAGTATATAAACTAAATCGATTTTTTCCTCAACTGCAGAAGAGTATGTTTCTTTTAAATCGGGACTGGACAAGAACTTTAGAAGTTGACAGTTCAATGCCAACAACAAAGCCGGGGTAACTGAACTTTCCTGAGGCCTTTATGCATTTTTTTCTAGCATGGGTGTAGGTCATAAACATAACATGCAATTAAATACTAATGTGCTGGTGGAGGGTGGGGAAAATCAGGAGGTGGATGGCACACACAAATAAAACAAAAACACAGGATACAGGACACTGAAAAGGTAGTAAGCAGATGACTTACCTAGGCACCCATCTGGCTAAAATCTGACGTATTTGCCACTAAATTTATGTATTAAATTGCGGAGGAATCGGATTTATATTTCAATATATCTGGGTAAGTCTACGATACACACCATGCGCCAAATATTCTTCTACTCCTGTCGATCAATAAAGTATTTGAACGGGTAGGCCGCTTAAACGGACGTATGTTTTGACTGACAACCAACCACTGAATAGGGGAATTGCTGGTCTGCTCCCAGGTCCCAGGCCGACTCCACTCCAATAGCCAATGTCATAGCAATGCGACCAAAGTTAACAAAGCAAAAAACCACAACAAAACCCAATCCATGCGCAGTTGCCCCAAAGTTGTTCAAGAAGTTTCTCCCCTTTGTTGTTTTTGCTAGCGACGACCGGAAGACATTCAAGGTGTGCTTCCTTGGATTTCGCCGCTTTTTTCTTAAACTTTTTGAGGTTACCCGGTGGAGTCCTCTGTCCAGGGACAGGAGTGGCTTGCGAACTGGGTTCTTTGACATAGATTGTTGGAGAATTCTATATAGGTGAACTGGTGCAGCAGTGCAATGAGTTGGTCGTGACTGGCGCTACGTGAGAGCTTCGGGGGGATTTAATTTGGGGTCCTTATTACTTATTAATGTTTGAATCGCTGTGCAATTATAACATTATTAGGGGTAGCTTAACCTGCTTTGGCTACGTTAATATTCCTGGGTAGCTAAGTTGGGTGCTTTGGGTGCTATTGTATACCGTGTTGTGTTTGCTTTAAGCTGTTCAAACTTCCGATCTTCTGCAACTTTTGTTTAATTATATACAGTAATTAGCCCACAAACACCATCGTATTATTAACCACAGCTAAGTTCATTCACACACAAAATTTGTCATTCATTTTCTAATTTAGTTTGCTTTTGTTATTGCCGACGTTTTACAACCATTCTTAGTCAAATATTTATTTGCATACCTTCGCAATGAAAACAACTTGGAAATCTCAAACATTTTCATTGTAATACCAAAATTCCCACGAACACTTTTTGTCTATATTTTTGGCTTGAGCTAAAGGCCAAAAAACGCGAGAGCTAGCTTTTTGGCAGAACGACACGATGTGAAGACGTTAAGAGCCGGCAAACGACTGAGCTGCTTTCGGTTAGAACTAGTTTGAGCCACACGGAGTTGGTAGGAGCTCTATTGGTAGGAGCTCTATTGCATCAGCGGACCCTTCAGTTGGCCGATGGCGACATTGATTCCTATGTTTTTGTTCGCTTGGGTCTCGCGTGATTCATTTAAAATGCATTAAAATGCAATGGACTAACACGAAGGAGAGCGTCAAAAATAAATTACGGGCGATTATCTCGCATACGATATGAACAACAAGTGAGGTTTATATTAAAGGAAACGTTTGGTCAGGAGAGCTTTTCCAGACCGCTCGTTTTTTTCGCCTTGATGTTGTTCGTTTTCCCAGATGTTTGACCTTTTCGAATGAAGGAAAGACCTAACCGCAGGACCCCAACGGTTTCCTCAATTGAATTTGCATATTTATATAGAATTCTGTCGACCCCGTTCCTCCTTTACTACCAGGCTGCCTATTTATACATTTGACAGCTTTTGTTTTCCGCGTAAGCAATTTAACATTCCCCACTTTGATTTTTCTTTTATTTTTAGCCTCGAGAATGCTTTAAACTGTATTTTTGCTGTCAATTTTTCTATGTAGTGGTTGCAGCCCATAGTAATTAATTTTTAATGTCGTTGGCATGATGTTTAACCTTTGATGTTGGGTTCAATGCCTTGAAGTTCATTTAATGGCTATACTATTGTTCTTTTCCCCTTTTGATTTGGACTCCCTGTTTGGAAAGAGGCACTAATAATGCAAAATATATACAAATTTCTGAGGAGGTGAGTAATTGGGGAGCTGTTATTTTTATTATTTGTATTAAATTCACTTTAAGCTTATATTGAATGTACAAAATGTGTAATAAATTGCTTTTTCAACTTCAGGTTAAAAATACATTTGGTTAAAGATTGGTGCTTTGCGTAAAGAACAAATTATTCCTATACATATTATATTTTAAAAACATTTAATTTTATGGCGATTGAGTTAGCCATTTAATAAAAAATTAAGTGAATGAAAGTTACACAATATTGTCCTTAATTCATTAATTGAAAGATATTTATGTACGAATCGAACAGAGTTTTATAACCTTTGTTGGTCTAAAACATACAATTAATGAGACAGTTTTTTCGCAAGTGTGTATGTTTGCAAAAATAGAAACAGGCAACGAAAACTTTTTTCGCAACACACCAACGTTGCCTTGCAAAGTCCGTGAACCTTTTGCCATAAATATATGGCGGGCTAAAAGAGTGGATATTGTTGACGTGGCCTTTTGGGAAAACAAGCGTGAAATGCAATAAATAACAAGCTATTAATGCCTGGTGCTCATACACGCACCGAAACTTTGTGCGGGGTCTGTGCAAAAAGCATAGCATACTTACGGGGCAAAGGAAAAGGCATGCGTGTGCAATCAAAGGCCAAGGCCGTTGCAACACCAGCCTGCCGAGTTAAATGTCATTGGGAAAAAGTTGATCCTCTTCGCTCGCCTTTGCACAATATTTCACTTTCATTCCGCAAAAAGTTGGCCAAGCTAATTAGGCCCACGAACAAAGCTAATCGACCCACCTGTACTCCCTGGTCTCGACTAAATCCGGCTCATTGCACACCTGTATCTTCTGTATGAGGCGGTAGAGAAACGAGTTCTGGAAGGATTGCGGCAGGTAGTACGAGTAGCTGTGAAACATTGCAAGTCGCGAAACTTCCGCACGGCTGCAGGGTCCCAGGATGACTAAGGTTCGCTTCAAAGGCTTTCCCTCTATTTATTTTATCGATACATGATTTCGAATGCAACGGACATCATGAATACTTTATGCATGAAGTGACATTCCTTCTCAGACAGGTGCAAAAAAGCAGCTTTGTTTCTGGCGTGTCTCATGTCGGCCGTACTTTTTCATTTTGTTCAAGATTTTTTTGGGTCAGAAAATGAGCTGCAGGGGAAAGGCAAAGGAACATGCAAATGAGTCAGGTGCATGATGTGCGAAATGAGAGTTGCAAGGGCCAAAATATTCTGGGCCTGGTTGGAGCAGAATTCGCCACATGCCAAACTGAGCAACACGAAATCAGTGGCTCAAAGCGGGGGAAAAAACGGCTAGAAGGGTTTTCAATTATGTAAGGTAAGCTCGGAGTTTGGAATGCACTGTGGGAATGGTAGCGACTGTTAAAAGCCATGAAAGCGTCCAACCAACACGATTACTTAGCTAGAGAACATAAAATGTAGATCAAAACACAAATAACGTAATACAACAACGGAGCCGATTTTACGATGGTGTAAATATTTAGGCTCTATGGCAAGTTCACTTTGGAAGTCAGTTTGTACTTTGAGGTCACTGATAACGATGAAATCACTCGTTGGTTCTGAGACCAACAAATGTTTTTGAGTCCGGTGCAATTGATAAATAGCCAGTATTAAAAGCAAGTTTCCTAATAGGTTCTTAAAAAATCGTATAATTTGTTGGCCTGCTCAAACATATTTAATAAGTATACTCTAAATAATTTGTTTATTAAAATTAAATTTTAGAATGTTGTCAACCAGTATGTAATCACTAATTAAAAATCGTTTCATAGACTGCATTAAGGCGGGAAACCAGTTTAGATGGTTCAAAAAATCAATTTTTTTTATTGCATAAATTGTTAGAATAACCAAGCTCTGGAATGAAAAAAATGATATAAAACATGACATTTTGTTTAAACACCTCCAAGACATTAAATTTTCAACTATTTCAGAGTTTGGTTCATATTCTTAGAAAATATGATACTATCAAAGGAAAAAAAAAATTAAAAAATTAAATTAATTTAAAAAAAATTAAATTTCAGATCAAACCTGCGACCTCCAGGTTGCCCGCAAGAGGTCAACTCAATGGACACCAGCCTCTAACTGCACCAATTCCGGCGAATATGATTTACCAAAATTTGAAAGTATGGTTCAAAATAGAAATAAACTACAATCCAAGTTTAAACAAATTTGAATTATTTTTTCTCTTAGAAAAAAAATTACGGAAAACACTCGAATTTCGGCCTCCAAAACCGGTTTCCCGCCTTAAACAAACTTCATTTACCTGCTTCGCCCTTTTACTAAAAAAAACAAATTTGGTTAGAGATTTGAGTTATTAATTATATTTCTCCGTTACTGCGCTGCAAAATTCTAATGAAATTTGTATACGCTTTGCTAAAGTGTTAACAATAAACCAAAATACAATTTAGATGTTCCATCGCCCACAGGTTGCCGTAGGAACAATCAAAAAAATTATTGGAAAATCGACCCAGCTTAATTAAGCATCAAATTCGAAATATAAGATATTTGTAACAGCTCCAAGGATGTATAAACTTGGGCTTGCCGAAGTTTGATTCCTTTCTTGTTGTCCTTGAAGCTAATGCACTGAGGATTTCTTTTAGATCCATAGACAAATTTGTCATTACTTAAAAACAAGAAAGGAAAGCTAACTTCGGGCGGAGCCGAAGTTGATATACCCTTGTAGAACATTCTGTAAATTATATTCTCCAAAATCGGATCGGTTATTCATATGATGCATTCTTAGTACTCATAAAAAATCCCAACTTCCTAACTTTAAATAACCAAAGTTATGGCATTTCCGATCGTTCAGTTATATGGCAGCTATATGATATAGTGGCCCGATCCGGCTCGTTCCGACTTATATACTAGCTATTTAAATTTTTTTTTGCATTTTTTTTTGTATTTTTTTTTTTGAATGCACCGAGTAAAGCTTCCGAACTTATGGGCAGTTGAACGTAGGTAAATTAGCTCGTTTTGTATGGGTATCCAAAACTTTAAAACGCTCTCCTGAAAAGTTCCCCTTTTCAAAGTCGGTGTACACGATCCTGCAAATTCTATCGGACGGATTGTTTTGAAATTTTGCACAGTTGTTCTCAACTAAATTCCTCAGGTAACGCTGCACTATGGGGAATTTGCCCGATTTTTTGGAATAAATGTATTTTTTCAAAGTATGCGGATTTTCTATTTTTTTTTTTAATGTGTTAAGAAAACATCAAGCTGTTTGGTAACATACCGCAAATGTTAACTTAAAAGTCTAGTATTTAAATACCAACTGTTAAAGTCAGCTGTTGCAAGCGCACATGGTTTGTTTACA